AATAAAAAATAGAAAAACAGTTAGGAAGCAATTTCATGTATGGTAGTTTATGCAGAAAGGTATGGAAAGATAAATAAGGTTGGAACTGAATGGAAGAAAAGATACCTGTGATGGGTTTGGATATGTTTCCCTGGTGAAACAGAATACAGGTGCTAGGGGGAGATCAGGATAAAATAATAGAGAATGCATAGTAAACTTTAAAAAGAATCTTATTTTGAGTTATTGGTTCAGATCATGTTGCCTATAATTTGTTTAAAAAAGAGCTCTTGTCATCTTCTTAAAGATCTTCCCTTCTGAATTATCCAACACGGTGGTGCCCTCTGCTCCAATGTAGCCCAAGTACCTGCTTTCTCCGTTTTACTTATCTGCACATTTCATGAATCCTTTTCAAAAATCATTCAACAGCTTGAAATGTGATTGTTCCCCACATATTTTTATAACAACAAAACTTCGTCCCCTCTTTCTTCAATGCTTGACTGAAGCCTCCTCTTCCCTCAAAATCTTTTCAGGACTGAGTGCAATTTGCCTGTCCAGGCTCCTTGTGCTGCTGAGTGTTGCACAGAAACTTGATTCCATGGACTCTATAAATTCTCATGCACTTTGTAGCTTGAATTTGGATGCAGATTTTCACAGCAGTCTGTTACTGCACTGGACAAAAGATGTCTTCTAATTTCTCAGGGTTATAAGCAAGGTAACTTTGGAGAAAACAAAAGTTTGTACTTTTATCCTCTGGGAATTTATTGGGAATCAAAAGCTCTTATTGTCAAAAGGTTTAATAATAGTAATAATAAATATTATTATGATTTTTTTTGCTTTTATTGAGTGATTCCACTTATTCTAACAACCTACATAGTTGCCTATATTGGGCAACTGTATCTCCCATATTGCAGATAAAAAACTATGATACCTAGGTATAAGAGAGCCCTCCAGGTTCTCATCTTGGTCCAATAAGTCAATATTTATAATCCTGAAGATATGTTATTGGAATCCCATCAAGTTAATTCCAATCTACCATTCCCAGTACAACCCACAGTGAAAGTAAAGACACTAAAACATATTTATAATTATTGATGAGCCAAGGGACCCTAAGCCCAGTCATGAAGATGGCTTTCCAGAACAAAGAGTCTGACCCAGGGCTGCACCAGGGTTTTGTTCAGTGCAGGAGTGGCTTGAGGAGGAATGACTAAGAATTGTGGGAAGTAGGTGAGTACTGTGAGCTGAGCTAGGTGGGTGGCCTATGTTTACCTCTGCCATATGCAGAGAGGATATGCAGAGAAAGTAATCTGCTTTATGCTATTGAGATAGTGTCTAATGTTTTAGGGACCTGGTGCTGAGCCAAAACGGAGACAGTCACTCTTCTTGCAAGAACAGCTGCTCAGGTGGTCCTCCACCCCTAGGGTCATGTGATTTGCCCAAATTAGCTCAGTATTCCAATTCTAAAACTCGGGTGATCTGTTTTGCCACCCTTCAACCAACAAAGAAATATCAAAAAACAGGTAAGAAAGAAGGTACTTTTTGCTATTTTTATTGAAAATAATTATTGCATTTCCCTACTTTAGAAATGAGACTACATCAGGGAAACATCTGGAAACATCAGCTGAAAAACTTTTTAGGAAATTTTCACCTAGATTAAATGAGGAAATATCAGATCATTAGTAACCACCTATAACCATTCTACTTGACTTAATATTTCTGTATATACACGTGATAGCTTGGATAATTATACTGCTGATTTCTGCTGGTCTACTAAAAGCAGCAGTGAGAGCTTCAAGTCTTTTTCTGTCTTCTTTTTAAGTTTTTATGATTTTTTGACCAATTTTGCATGCTTATATCTCATAATCTTGTAATTTGAAGACAATACAATGCAATACACCAACTATTACTAAATTCCTATTCTTTTGTTTACTGAAATTCTGTATCATTTCTAATGGCTTTTTAAAATATTTTTTATTCTCTTTAAAAAATAAAATAC